AGTGCATGGAAACCAGTTACTGCTACCACCGTTGGGTTGGATCCTGGTAGTAAAACGAGGTGCCATATTAACGGAGTCTTCAAAATAATAAACTGACTCACTGTTTTTGCGTTTGGTTCTAAGGAATATAGTGGTAATAAAAGTGGTGGTCGTAGAACGTAGGGGTCGTAAGGCGGGATTTCACTGTACGAACCTTGCTGCTTACTTTGTCAAAAGTTTGGATAATGTTTGGCACGTGCACATTACACCCTTTTAAGAGTAAATATATATCATAAGTAGACTGCAACTGTTTTCGTTTGCGCCCTTTTTTAATCTCTAAAAAACCTTTAAGCCCCAAATCTCTTTGTTTCTGTTCTAGTTTGACAGGTTTGTGACAGTTTCATTGAATTTTACCAGTGAAATAATTGTATCACCGATTCGATGTCTTTAAAAATTTATCGTAACAGCTTCTTCAAAATTACTCCAACATCGATATTGACCGCCTGTACTTCAGTTATATTTTAAAAAAATAGGAGCTAAACAAAGATGGATTCCACAGGGAGCTGTGTTTTCTCCGTTATAACTTTAAGTGGTAAGAAAGTTCTGTTTGGGAAGTTTAAATCAAGTGTCAGAGTACTGTTTTATTTTTTTCTATGTCTTTTGTTTGTCGATTGTACCGCTGTACCGCTTCTCCTTCATCCAATATTTCCATACAATACAATAAATAGTAAACATTTGTTTTTTCATAATTATATTGAGTTTTTTACATAAAACTTGTTTGTTTTAAAAGGTCAATAGATTTTTGACCCAATTACACTCTTCTATGGCAAAGAACTGTAAGCACTTATTCAAAATTAATTGATCAGGAACTTGTCAAGGTCTATTGTTTATTTTTTATTGTTTTGTTTGCCATAAATTGTACAAATAAAATAAAATATAATTATTTAAACTCTCATGGCGAGGAAGCCCAAGAGGTCCACATTCTTCAGTTCATTCACTTTAAACTAAAAAACTACACTAAACCCTAGTTACGTTTAACGGGTAATTAGTTCTAAGTATACGTTGTTAACCATGAAAATAAAGCGAAGAAAACTAGTTCACATAACCATTAGCAGTAAAACTGATTTTCGTTAAGTTACATTTCGGATCAGGGTTACTGATTATATGACGACACCAGGGAATAAAACGAATACGACGAAAAGTATTTTATTTGCTCAATTTTTTTTTATGTAGAGTCTTTTGCAGTGAAATGTTCGAAAGTTTGTCCGCGAAATACAGCTGTAGTCATTCAGACTGTAGTCATTCAGCATTCACCCTTCTCTGACATGCCACTGCTCGGCAAAGAAAGGAGGTGACAGGTACTAAAATATAAGATATGTCGTACAGAGGCGATTTGAGGTGGCATAGAGTCTGAATCGATGTTATGCCAAATTGAGTGCACACTCTAAACAGTCGAACCTCTACCTCTAAAGGTCACCTCCCAAACAGCCATCTCTCTATAACAGCCACTTTCTTCTGTTCTCAAGATGGCCGTTGAGGATGGTTTCAGCCGTTGGGATAGTTTCAGCTGCAAAAATCTACAGGGAAATGTGTTGGGAGGAGGGAGAGTGAAACTGTATTAGACAAGTTTAATAGATAGAACAATGTATAGTAAAGTAAACTAGACTTAACTGTCGACAAGCTTAAACGCTCATATGTAATAACTTTAATAGGTATTCAGTGTTTTTTTCATCTGTCACTCAGATGCTAAGGAGTACACCCAGCTTTATGAATTTACTGGAAAAACAGACAAAGATTATATTTAGGCATATTATATATTTAAAGATTAATACTGATTTGTATTTCGATTGTTCTTCTTTTACTTTTCAGCTATTGTGATCATCTTGAAAATGGACGTTGTTTACGCCAGTAAGTCCAAAATCTAATCAATTGTTTGGTGCAGGCTTATTGTACACACCCAATAGTCTATTGACACACACTAAGCTAGTTTTAAAACCTCACACAACCTGAGAGGAAAGTTGTACAACCTGAGAAAGGTAACGCGCGCGAGAAAGTAATTAAAAATAATTAATTTTTTGAAATATTTGCTTTTGTGAAAGGTTTGAACCCAGGAGTCATTTCAAAAGTAGGTTGAGTTTGATCGTGTCAGTTGATGGTATTATACTCTGGTTATTGATCTGATTGGTCAATTACATCGCGATGTTATTGGTCGTCTGTCAGTGAAGCCGTGATGTTATTGGCTATGAAGACTCTTAATCAGTAATTGGTGCGTTTCGATCCGGATGAGTTGCCAATACAACTTGAAAACAAAACTGCCGATCAGAATAATGCAATTTTAGAATGACAATCGTTACTAAAATTCGATTATAACCTAGGTCTTTATCATCTTTTTAAATGGGCGACATTACCACTATTATATAAAAGCTACTGTGTAAACAGTGGCTTTCAAATGAGTTAATTGATAAAGTCAACTTGATACAAATGACAAAAAAGGAAAAGATTGATTATTCCGTTTCTGATATATATACACACTCGGTTTTCTAAACCAAGTTTAGGTGCTAAAAGAATTAAGAGCGAGAGTTTCCCAGTTGTATGCTCATTGGAAAATGACTTCCATACTACTATCAGCGAAACGGTGTTGTTCTACTTCAATCGATCTTTAGGACGGAGTTTTCTAGTTTCACTACTTGTAACACGCTGAACAGTCCACCTCTTCTCATCTTCTCTGATCTGAACTCAATTAAGCTTCCCATCAAACTCAATTTCATTCTTATTGACTTGCAAGTTAATCTTTATTTTTCAGTGGAAAGCGGCACCTCGTGGTCATACGATCGCGGAATAGCAGGCGCAAAAGGTTTATAATCTTACCTAAAAAAAGAGGTTTAATTTAATATACACATAAAATTCTTTATAACACTTAACCTAAATGAGAGTTATACGGATACGCCCTTTTCCAAATTAGCACCCAACCCTTCGGCGAAACTGACAAATAAGCCCTTCCCCCAGCCCCTTGAGAAGACACTCCATTCCCACTTCACTTTCTTAAGGTTAAATAATGTATTAAAAGGAAGGCTTCTTCTTTCCGCACTTTAGTTACTTTTAGCTTTGACCTGGCCTGCGAAGCGTAGACGTATTTCAGGTCGTCGCTTCTCTCCCTCCGAAAAATAATTATTATTTTTCGGAGGGAGAGAAACGACGACCGGAAATACGTCTGCGCTTCGCAGGCTAGCTTTGACAATACCCTGCAAAAATATATCAAAGTCACGTCCACTTTACTTAATTGTGTTTTAAGAGTTTTTTCATGACGATGCGTAGCTCTTATACCTAATAAGCTATTAGATAACTAAATAAGGTTCGGTTGGTTCCGTTCGTCTTCGAAAAAGCACCTCCCCTTTGGGAAGAATATTCAATGACAAGGTCGACCATTTTGAAACGATCTCCAAATCTTCAGCCTCAACCTCACTAAATTAAAGTCATGCACATGCAAAAGTGACAGAAAAGGTTGTAAAAATCATGTTGTTAGTGTGGCTAAGCTTAGCGACGTTCCCTTAACGTTCAGGGACTATCATTTCGAATCATTTTTGTCATAGACATGTGCGCTTTTAAGAGCCCGGTTACTTACAAACCTGGCGTAGACAGGTTGAGAGAGAAAAAAGGAGGAACATGTCAACCAACACTTTTGACTACGATTGTAGCTATAAATATGACAAGCTTTAATCCTGAATTTTATTTTGTCCAGGTCCAGACGAATGGGAAACTTTGAATGGCAACTGGTCTTGCAATGGGCGCAAGCAATCTCCAATTAACATCGTCACCGACGAGGTCATGCAGAAAGATCCGACAAATCCGCCAAATCTGCGCCTCACTGTGGCAGGCGGTAGACCAATCACCGGTGAGCTTAGAAACAATGGGTACGCGCCAACGTTTTACGTCGGAGAAGAACTGACGGTCAAACTGGCCGGCGGTCTTCTTCAAGAAAACTACTTCCTCAAGCAATTCCATTTCCACTTTGGTTGCAACGATTCGGTTGGGTCCGAACACACTATTGATGGTAACAACTATCCGCTCGAGGTAAATATCAAAATTTGAAGTGTTTGCTTTAATTAAAATTGGAATCACGTTAGTATTTATGAACAATTGGGAGCTTACTTTTAAGCTCCTGGCCTAGACACACGGTTGATTGATTACATGGAATCCAAACGCCGTATTAGCTATATCATAATCAGTTGTTCTTTTACCTGTGTTAATGAGTCTTTATCAGACGTTTTGGGAAAGGATTTGAATCGGATCGAAGACGATTTACCTTTTTGCCAGTTTCAAAGTTATTTTCTTTTCTTTTTTATTTTAAATCTTGTATGACCCGTCGTTAGTAGGATGCCACAGTTACGCCTCAAGTTTCCATTGGTGCGAACCATTAACTCGATCTTCTAGGGAAAGAAGATGGGCGTATTCCCAGGCCTTCTCAGTCAATTCACATAGGGGTATCCGAGGCGACAAGGCGGGAAACTTCTTCGCTCGGACCACGTGACCCGAAACGCATTGATCGCGCGGAATAGTGAGGCTAGGAACTAGGCAAGAGAAGAGTTAGCTCTACCATACTGTCTAAAAAGGCTTATCTTAATGTTAGTGTAAAGCTAACTAAAGTCACAAACAAAAGTGGTAAAAACGGTTGTGAAAACCATTCAATTTTTCCTTTCTTTTTCCTTTCTTTCTTTCCAGTTACACATGGTCTTTTGGGATAACACAAACTACGCAACTTTTGAACTGGCCGCTGAAGGAGAGGATGGGCTGGCTGTGGTATCTGTCATGTACGAGGTGAGACATTGGTTTACCTGTTAAGAGTGTTATAACCAGGAATTAACGCAAAAATAGGGTCATTCGGTTAAAATAACCGGAAATGAGCAGTCGAATTAATTAAAGTGAAAAAGTCTGGATTAACTAATCGCGGGAGTTTATATTTCATTCGACAACGTTTAACGTTTAAGCTAATGGAGGGCTGACTCAGATTCAGTCAGGTTATGTTGACCGAGAACTGAGTCTCAAGCAAAGAGCTGGAACGTTAAAAATGACAAGACTGCAGGAAAATCGGCATAAAGATCCTTATGGTGAAGAGAAAAAAAAAACGAAATTAAATAGACCAAATTTTTAGACCAAGGTATTTGAGATTTCCTTTCACCTAAGGTATTGGGCTCTTCTCTCTTGTGCTTGCCGGCCTTCGGGGCGCTTAAAATTAATCGCGACCCGCACTGAGACCACTGAATTAAACCTGACTCTTAGGGACCGAAGCGTTAAGAGTTTTAGCCTGCTAATTTGAACTTTGTATTTCTTTGTCTGTTTGATTAATTGTTTCACAGCTGCCAATGGCAAATACTAGCACATCTAATCCAAACAATGCACTAGAAAAGATTTCTAAACTCCTCAACAACGTTGTTGATCAAGGTTAGTGATAAACATTCTTATAGTCGCTCTCCTTACATAATAATCTTTTTTTGTAACGGAACTTTTTTGTAAGAACGTTGACACGAAGGACTGGAAAAACTAGGGGACATAATTCTTAATCATGACGTTCCTCTCCCCTTATAAGGCTTTTCAAACAATAGGGGAGGGGAGCAGGAAGCCGTTTTCCGTGAAACGTAGTGCTTAACCTAATTTCTACTTTACAATGCCCCTACTTTCATATGGAAGCAAACCCCCCTGACAGTACAATAAACAAACAAAACAACAACAAGCTTTATTTACATTTCACTTTAGCATAATTATAGTTACAGAAGGTAGTTTTAGTTTAACGGTCAGATACATGCAATATAATATTTGTGAAACTAACAATACATTACCGGTAAGGAAATACCTAGCATCTAAATAAACCGTTAAACTCTAGCTATATATGGCAGTAATTAGATAGCCTGCGTAGCAGGCGCTTGGAAGTAGAAGGCACAAGAAAAAATTGGCGCGCGAGAAGGAGACACGCGAGGAGAGACACCCCTCGCGTGTCTCCCTCGCGCGCGCCCTTTCTCTCGGCCCACTACTTCCAAGCGCCTGCTACGCAGGCTAGTAATTAGAATACCGCTTATCTTGAAAACAGACAGCAATTACGTGGTCACTCAGAGTGCTGCGATACATATAGAGGATTTGGCACCTCTTCTTGTTTCCCCGGATGTCGCTGACAGGTTTTTCAAATACAAGGGTTCTCTTACAACTCCCGGATGTTACGAATCTGTCACATGGTTTGTCATGAATAATCATCCACAAATATCGGAGTTAGAGGTAAGAGTAACCAGGCAACAGAGTGAGTAGTTTTATGGCGAGATGATTAATGGCTAAATTAATATAGGCTGGGACTTATTCCAGGAGTAAAAGGGCAAACAATAAAAAAGGTTTGCATTATTTCAGGACTTTGCTACTCGACTCCAAATTGAGCTGGGGGAAATGGAATTGCTGAAAAGAGTCTGCGTAGGGTTTCGCGCTCGACTACTTTAAACCTTTTTTTAATCTTTTTGGCAAATTTTAAAATCAAAATCTACTGAATAGTAGCACAATTCCTAACTCTCAAACCGGTCAATTTTGCTTCGTTAATGAATAGTTTTATCATTGATCATTTTAAAAATCATTGATACCTTGATCTTAAATGCAAACCCGGCAAACAAAAAAAACAGCTTTCCGGCTCCGAAAAGTGACCGGGACGTTCGAGAAGCGGTCCCCAGGCCCGTTCGTACTAGAGTACTGCGCACTCGTACTCGATATAAGTACTTCCTCACGGCGCATTTGAATGATGATCTGTCAGGCCGCAACGAATTCAAAAACTTTCACTCTCAACTACATGTATATCTCAGGGGCTCTCGTACGCTTGCAATAGGAGCTCACGAAAAAATACTCGTTTGCAACTTTGTAACTAAGGCAAACTCCTTGAGGAGTCTGATACTAACCACAATCGCCGGCATTTGTTGCCACCTTACTACTGGGGAAGCAACGTTATTATAACCTGGGCCTTCAGCCTTCATCGAGAACCGAAATCGTTCCAACTCTTCATTCTCGCAATATTTAATTAGTTTTGAGTCAGTATTTATTTCAGATCTTTAGGATATTTCCTTACATGTGATTCACTCAATACAGCTTTTCCACGGCTAAACGGGCTGCGATGTCGATCTGTCTCATTTTTTCTAGTCTCTTTCCTTATGTTTGGCTAAATCACCCCCGCTGTACAAGCTATGCTGAAAAGGGTATATTTCGTGGTTGTATAGAACTCCCTGACCAGGTATTTCATATATCAAACAAGAGAAGGATTGTTGCATTCAATATTCAGACCCAGAAAATTTGGATATGAAAAAAGAATTAACACTATTCGATGTACGTACAGTTCAAGTGTTTTATAAATAGGCTTTCAAGTATCTATGCCTTATTTCTGGAGAAATTCTAAGGGCTTGTTTAAACGCTCACAATATATAAGGCGATAAGTACTGTAAAGTTCCGAAAGTACTCGAAAGTAGCGAACTTCCGAAAGTAGCGATAAGCGAAGAGGAACACAAGTAACAAAATGTTTGAAGAGTACAAACGACATTTTTTTTTTCCATAAAATGTGTGACTATAGAAAGTTTCACGTTGTGGTCGTGCAAAACAGCGGCAAAGAAATGTTCAAAAAAGAGTGCTGCACGTGCAAATTTTGTTGTTGTTGTTGCTAATTAGACTATTGGGTTTTTTTGCAGTCCTCGTTGCCGTCGCCGTTTAGCATTGCTCGATTTTATTTTTTGTTTGAGTAAATCATTTAACGAGAGCCTCGCTTTTAGCCCTGGCTAAATATATATATTAGTATGATCGACAGTAAACAAAAGCACCTTAACTCTGATCATGACTTGTCAGTCACTGTCATTCCTATTCAAAACTACAGCCGTCTTGATGATCATATTGCATTTATTCATTATGACATGAATCTCACTTTAAACCATTCACTAAACCACATTTTATCGTTCCATTCATATAATTAACTTATGGCCATTGTCTTGTACAGATTCAAGCATTCCGAAATTTGAAAAGCAACAAGGCGCATGCTCAGGGCCTAAACAAAGGGCGCATGTGCAATAACTTTCGTAATGTCATGCCCCTCAATGGACGTCAAATCCATAGCAACATCGTGCTTTCATAACTGTCAACCGCTATAGTAGCCTTATAATAACAAGGTAAGCTTTTTGTTCATGATGACTGAATTCAATTCATACCAGCTATGAACGTTACGGTATTTGGGGGAAACTTAAGGCCGGCGCTCTTTCAAAGGAGTGCTTATCGAAAAAAACAAAAGTTAAAAGCGCTAGGATCTAGGAATTAGTAATTATCATAGTAAAAGCATTTTTAATGCTTGCCGGTCTCGCTCATGAAACAATAGTCTGAGTTAAACTTAAAGTTATCCTAAAATGAAGATTGATTTTTATACTCCTAGTTTCTCCTAGTTTAAAGTCAAAAAAGAGGTCCTCCTCGCAGGGTGAATCTGTCTATACTCGCGCCAACATCTCACGCGTAACACTATTACTACAAGCTCGCTAGCAGGCTATCTTTTACGAGCGCAAGTGAGCGATGCAGCAAACAGACAACCTGACTCGCGAAGAGCATTTGCAAAGACGAGTCGCTCTTGTCCCTGCTCCTCATTCCCATATCCGGAGCCTCCTGGCGTGATCACCAACGCGCGAGATGCGGCAAGAAACTCTAAAGCTCCAACAGTGTTTGGGCCACGCACGCGCTTTGGACGTGGTGTCCTTGGAGACAGCGACGCAATAACTTCGCGTGATAGACCAATACGCATGATGGGCCAACGATGATAGGATGGAGTTGTTGCATCCGTTTGCAGACCACTACTAACACGCAAAAACTCCCAACATTATTGGCCCAACAATGTTGCTCGTAGCTTAATGCGATAGCCTACTCGTAGGCTTTCTCGCAAGCTCAGTTAGGCGGAAGGTGATTTCTATATGCTGCCAGGAGCCCATAGGCATAAACCGCCGACTTCTTCCTTTTGGCGATTTGCTATGTGAAAGAACTGGAATGCATCAGTATTTGCTGTTTTATTTGTTTCCAAATGGGGTAAAATTGAGAAAAGTATTAGATTGTTGAGAATCAGATTGAAAGCCAAATCATTGAAGGCAGGTTTTGTGTTGATGAGAGCTTTATTGATTTCTGCAGATTGTAGTAGCTGTAACTGATGAACTACACGTCAGAGACCCAAAGGCCAAGAATAAGCAAAGAGTTGTGCAAGATCTAACAAAAACCGTGGCTTTGGTGAACGCTGCGAAGCCTCATGATTGAAAAATGAAGATGATTTGTATGCAAATGAAATGTCCCTGACCAATAAATGAAACAATTACGTCATATTTGTAGGACGGGATTCTCCTTATGAGCTAGATTTCACACTCTAAATATACCCATACTTCGAGTGGACTCCTTACTGATCGAATTTAAATCCGGATCTGTCAGAGGCTTTTATGTGGAAATAAATTTCAAAAAAGATTTACGCAAAAGGCCTCGTCCACAATGCAAGTGTCTGGGTTTTTTGAAAACGGACAGTTTTAGCTCTGGTTAGGCCTACCGTCCATACGTATCCGGTGAAAAGGATCACCGAAAACGCATCTTTTCAAAACGATCGTTAGAGTAGAGATTTTTGAAAACGCTGTTTTGCTGGAGTGTCAGTAAAACGCGGAGTCGAGGTCGTGGCCATGGCAGGGACCGGTGCTGGGGTCTATCTTTTCTTTTTTTTTTTAATAGAATTCTGTTTTAGGGTTAGGGTTAGTGTCTTTCCACTGCCGTGTAATTTTTACGTGCCTGGCGTAAATTTTACTCGTGTAAATAAAATAAAAGCAAGATATAAATTGTCCAGCTTAAACGTGAAGTTGAGCGAGGTTCGAACTTTTACGTTTATATTACGATCAACCTTTTATACATTGCCTCTATTTCATGTATATGCGAAAGTAAATTTTACGCACGTACCCACGTAAAAGGCAATCACTCGACAGTGGAAATCCACCCTTGATCCAAAAACACACAACTAACACAACCCTTATCCCTAAAATTATCTCTACGCCGGTGTTGAAAATTTCCACTAGCAAAGGCGAAACACAACATAAATCTCTAACTTGATAATAGTCACTAAAAGAGATGATTAAGCACACGGGACGTTGACAGCAAAATCATGTCATCCCAAGATATTTTCAAGAGAACGACGAGACTGTGTTAGGTACTGGTGTTTGGATTCACCTTTGAGCCTTTTTTATACGTCGATGGTTGAAAATACTTTTGAAAATCCTAAGGACAGCTTTATTGTAAAGCCGCTTTAAGAGAATCAAAACAACCAAACCTCTTCTATACCTCAGACCGTGACAAATACAAATTATACAGAAATAAAATCATTTATCTTACGAGATTAAGTAAAGCGAACTACTACCAAAGTTTCTTTGATCTCAACATATGTAATATGCGTCAAACTTGGAAAGGAATTAACGAGCTAATTGGAAACTGTAAAAAGAAAAACAAGCGCAACTCAACTAACTCTATTCGCTCAAACCCGAATGAGGTTCCAACTAGTGACCCGAAGGAAATAAGCAATATTCTTAACAAATATTTCGCCACTGTTGGGAGCAAACTGGCTTCTAAAATTCCTCAGACCATAAATACATTCTATGATTATTTAGATCCGCCACTTAATCGCACTTTCTTCTTTGATCCTATTATTCCGGAAGATATCAATTTAGAAATTTCAGTTTTGCAAGACAACAAGGCCCATGGTCTTTACTCATCTCCAGTTAGGCTGCTGAAATTGGCAAAAAGGGTCATATCCGTACCTCTAGCCACGATTTTTAATCAGTCTATTTGCTCAGGGATTTTTCCATCTAAACTAAAGTGTGCTAAGATTATCCCGATATTTAAGGACGAAGATGACACGCTGCCCGAAAACTACCGACCTATTTCTCTGCTCTCGATTTATAACAGGATTTTTGAAAAACTTATGTACTCCAGAGTTACCAAGTTTGTCAAAGATTGCAACATTCTCTATGATCAGCAATACGGTTTTCGCAGTAAGCACAGTACTCAGCATGCTGTACTTGATATTGTTAACACAATTCTCCAAAACATGGACAACGGTAAATTTTCGTGCGGTGTTTTCATCGATCTCAAAAAGGCTTTTGATACTGTTAACCATGAAATTTTGTTAGCTAAACTTGAAAATTATGGTATTAGAGGTGTAATCAACTCCTGGTTCAGATCATACCTGACTGATCGGAAGCAAACTACGGAAGTTAATAATGTTGTGTCTGAGGCTGAAACGACCTTGTGCGGCGTGCCACAAGGCTCAGTCCTCGGACCACTCTTATTCCTACTGTACATCAATGATATTTACAAGTCCTCTTCGTTATTTGCCTTTTATCTATTTGCTGACGATACTAGTATAATACTTGCAAATAACAACCTAAAGGAACTCGAAACACTTGTTAATCGCGAGCTTGGCAACGTCAACGAATGGCTAAAGGCCAACAAACTGTCCTTGAACATAAAAAAATCAAATTTTGTAATCTTTCGTCCCCGGCAAAAGAATATGCCCTTCATACCTAGGATTAGAATTTTTGACTCCGTGACTAACACCTACGCAAACCTTGAAATGAAAGATTATGTAAAATATCTTGGCTTAATGATTGATTCAAATCTTTCATGGAAATACCACATCGAATCTATCTGTCACAAAATCAGCAAGTCGATAGGAATTATAGCTAAAATTCGACATTATGTCCCGCGTCGTGTTTTACTTTCAGTTTACAACTCATTAATTGTCCCTTACTTGACTTATGGTATTTGTGGTTGGGGAAATTGTGCCTTGACATTTCAAAGAAAGATCGTAACTCTACAAAAACGGGCCTTACGTCTCATTTACTTCAGTAAGTCTAAGGAACACGCCGTACCCTTCTTTCTCAAATCAAATTGCCTTCCCCTGTCTAGCATATTTTTCAGAGATTGTAGCTATTTATTGTATGATATCAACAGACAGATAGCACCAGTTAGTATTCTCAATCAGTTCGTTAAAACAAGTCAGATTCATAACTACAGAACAAGATCTGTCTCTAGCGACTCGTTTTATGTTAAGTTCTCTAGAACCGATAAAATGTATGCCTTTTTCACGAGAATCGGTGCCCAAATTTGGAACTCTATTCCGTATTCGATTAAAATACTTAAACGTTCGTCCTTTCGTAAAAAAATAAAGGAATTATTACTAAATTTTTTGCGGTCAGAAGATGATTATGTCGAAGTCTCCCGTCTTATTAAGTTATTTAATACTTTAGGTTAGCCTCTCTTCGTAATCGTTATGTACATGCCTTGTTTTATGTTAGTTTAAATTCTATTTACTGTATTGTAGTGTCTTCACTGTTATTTAGTCCATCTATATATAAATCTTGCTTTGTAAATTGTGTTCAGCTCCCCCCGCCTCGATTAGTTCATAAGCTATTTGCGAGTGGGAAAGTAATGTAATTAGTTATTTTCCGATTTTCAATAAAATTTGTTGTTGTCGTTGTTAAACAAAAAACCGTATACCTCAGTAAATGTAAAATCTTGACAAGATTTGCACAATAAAGTCCGTTTTCTTTTTTTTCGCCAAAATAACAGATTTCTCTACTTAACAAATGGCAATCATCCTAGAACAAAGACTTTATTTTTCAATTCCCAAATGTACCGGGGTGTATGTGGTCAGGTAAACAACTTTTGTTGTTGCTACACAGACACGTGTTGTAAGAAAATCCAATCAGAAATTACAATTTCATATTTCGCTGTTGGCGAAAGGATACTTGATCACGGATGAGGAGGAGAGCTTAAACGTGCTCCCAAGAAGCGGGATATCCATCTTTCTCAGCGGCCACACTACGAGTGAGAAAGGTAACCATGATTGGAGGTAAATATCAGTTGCATGCTTAAGTTATCGTCAATTCGGCTGAAATTTGCATTCTCTGACGAGAGTCCAACATTTAAAATAAAGTTATTCCGTCGCTAAATGCTGTTGGTTTAAAGTAGACTAATTTGCAGGGTACTAGGAAATGGTTTTAAAACAAGTACTGGGAACTTACTGTCTGACTGAACCAATTCCAGAATCATTTAATTCCTCCTGCAGGGAACTCG